CTTGACATGAGTCGAAACTGTCGCATATATCCTTTAAGACTCCCTGGCACGAGTCGAAACTGACTCATGATGGCCTCCAAGAGGGCCTAATGCATACTGAGTGCAGTCCCTCGTGATATCCCTGGATGAAATTGAACTCACTCTTAAGGCGGAGTATCCATTGCCCTAAAGTCGGGAGCATATATGAATATTCCACATGTCGTAGGCCGAATTGCAGAGCCCATGTTTTGAGGGCTAAGTTTCGGTGTAAAAAGTCCAGCTCTCCACTCAAAGTCGTGGCTGGAATAAATTCTTGGTGTGACATGTTGTCTTTTCCAGTCTCATTGCTTGATACTATGGGTTTCCCTTTTATTATCGGATCTCATTATTTCCTAGAACACCACCGTTGTTTAGAATGGTTCTTGATGTATGAAGTTGCATTAAGGATTATGGAATGATTCAAGTCAGCCCATTGTTCAAAGTGGCTCTTGATATATGAAGTTGGATTAAGTCCGAACGTTGCCGAGAACTTACAAAGCGTGGAATGGATACAAATATTTTGTCGTGTGGGATGGATACAAATATTTTGTCACAAAATGCCTATACTACATAGGTGTGGCCACGTGTCACACAGGTATTCACGTCACAACATTGAACCGTGCATATATATTATATATACACCTACACTGCATGGATTATAAATCAATAGCCATAATATTATATATTTATGTATATCCATGCATAGGCAAAGGCATTAAACTACATGCAAATTAAAGCATTAACTATATGTGTACACACTGCCCAAGTCATGGACCATATATGTGTATAGATTACATATGTACTCAGTGGAGCATTAAGGAAAACGAAAAGAAAACAAAACATATACGGAGTACATATTATACACCCACGTGGCAAAAAAAAAAAAAAAAAAAAAAACTTTTTATCTACTACACATGTTAATATACTGACACATGCAACGCAAAGGGAAAAGTATAAGTGGGAATGAGTGAAAGGAAGAAGGGTTCAGCACATCTGCACATGCCTCTATGTAGACCATCTCTAATTTCAAATCAGCCTTGGACTGAGTAGAAACAAAGAAAAGTCTCATCTCGCTTCTGTTGACGGTGTTACCCGCAACCTCTGTAGCGGCCTCTTCTCCTCTGTCGACAAACGGAGCAAAGGTGGCCATAGTTGCTATGGCGAAGATAGAGACATGCTCCGGTGACGGCGATGTCTAAACAGCTTCTTTAGTTTCTCCGTTGTGTTCCTTTTCCGGCGACCATGGCAGCATCCAGTAGTGGCTCAGCCGGCTCTATGATGTTTTGTTCCCCTCTTCCAATGATAGTGGCTGACGGAGATATCAAGAAGAAGCATAGATGCGATACTAGATCACTGGCGTGATTTCGTTTCTTCATCGCCAAGAACGACGAATGGAGAGGCACTGTCCCGTGGCAAGAGTAAATCCAGATAATGGTGAAAAACGACCCAACAAATCAATTCCTAGGGAGTTCCGGTCCACGGTTGGTGCCGGAGCAACGTCCGGCAGGCACTGTCCCGTGGCAAGAGTAGATCCAGATAATGGTGAAAAACGACCCAACAAATCAATTCCTAGGGAGTTCCGGTCCACGGTTGGTGCCGGAGCAACGTCCGGCATAACCCTACGATGCACGTCGCTCTCTTTCCACTGCTGGAAATTCGCGTTTTTTCGACCTCATTTCCAACCACCCAAAAATTTGGTCGTAAAAAGTGATTTTTTTTCTTTTTTTCGACGGAGGGTTACAATGGTCAGAAAGTGGTCGGAATTTCCGACCACCAAGTAAAGATGGTCGGAAATATCATTGGACTGTTAACTTTTTTTCTGACAACCTTGGTGGTCGGTATACACACACATAAAAATTAAATGCTATTTTAGTTATTATCCAACCTAATATATAAATATATCCATTATATTTACAGAGTATATATTTAATATTTTCTTAACCCCAACTTAACTGACAGTCCGACACCTTTGCGCCTTTCCGACGGCCTTAGAAAAGTGGTCGCTATTTTTCACCATTTCTTCAGTAGTCGGAAATAGCGAAGGGGATTTTTTCGTACACAAAATTGGTCGGAATTGGTGTTTCCGACCGAATTAACACCATTTTCGATCACTTTTAAGTGGTCGAAAATCTGCTGATTTCCAGCAGTGTTCGAACGCGATGGCGATAGCAACGTGCCAAGCATGCGCTCGGAGACATCCCAACTTTGTGACAGCAAGAGAGGTGTGCCAAAGCAAGTGGCTATAGAATCAAGTCCAAGGCGTGGAGAGATCTCTACGACAGCAAGCTCATCGGTGGACGACAGCGGCAGTTCGTAGGACGAAGGCAACGTGTCAGAGCACATGCCTGGAGAGTACCCACCGTCTTTCGTCTCCAATGATGGTGACCGGCTGCGAGAATTTGACAATGGTGAAAAACAGGTCGAGAAATCACAGGTGCTTTCTGTCCAATGTCTCTCAGTTGTTGTTCTTCTCCAATCACGATGGGTGGCGCCGAGTCCAAGCACCAATGCTCAGGAGGTCCCATCCAATGCTCTCAATTCTTCCCCTCCTTGTTTCTTGATAAAAGCTGCAAAAATTAGATACACAAATATATAGATGGGGCAGAAATTAATGTTCAAAAAATTACCTGAAGGCTGTCGTACTGCTCTTAGATGATTGGGGATGTAAAGCAGTGAAGATGAAGTGTTACTTATAGCTGCAGAGTGAGGACTTTGAGTGCATCCGGACTCTAAATTTGTTGTTTAATCTATGATTTTGTGGTTCAGATTATGTGGCTGGGATAGTTGATAGAATTGTGAATGGTAGGGGAAGGGCTGATTGAATTGGATGTTGGACATATACTAGCGGTCCATGTACGTTCCCTTAGGCTGTGAAAAGAAATTAATTTCAGCTAAATTAAAGTTGTAATATGGCTGAAATTTTGAAAAATGAAATGGGTTGTTTTGATTGTGGACGCTATTGGCATGTTGGACATGGTTCTTGTTGGGTCATTGTCAAATTGGTCATTCTTCAATCAAGATATAATTTATTAGATTGCTATCTGCGAACATGGAGTTTTGGACTATGGTTAATTTCAAGACTACCTTCTCGTTGCATTTGAGACATGTTAAGCAAGTCTCGAATGAGCAATTTGTAAGCACTGAAAAAATTAAATAATATTGTTGAACCGTGGTGGATAAGTTATTGTCAAGTTAATTACTTTAATTGTGTTAATTAGACAGGTATTTCTTTAATCAGGTTAATTAAATGACCCATTGAATAATTAATTAGTCTAGTTACTTAATTAAATGTAATTGGATGTTGGATTGTTCGGCCCAAAATTGTGAAATATTTAATCGAGTTGGACCAGGCTATTGAATCAATTGGGTTGCTTAATTAGCGGGTTTAACTTGGTCTTGGCCCACTAAAATTATATGTGGATTATATAATTTTGGGGAATTTGGATATTTGATATTATTTGAAATTTGATGAAATGATGAACCTGGACACAATAGTGTCCCGATACGTTCCTTAATTTAATTAAAATAATTAAATTAAATTAGAAATTAAGAGTTAGTTGGAGATTTTCCCTCACCCTCACCGCTATAAATAGTGGTTTCATTTTCAAAGAATGAGCTCTGGAAATCTGCATATCGAAGCTCTGCCGAAATCTCGCCAGGGAACACGTCTCCCTTCAGCAAGGAACTACTTCCAGTTCGGCATACTCCCGAACTCGGCATACTTCCAGTTCGACACACTCCCGAACTCGGCATACTTCCAGTTCGACACACTCCCGAACTCGGCATACTTCCAGTTCGACACACTCCCGAACTCGGCATACTTCCAGTTCGACACACTTCCGAACTTAGCATACTTCCAGTTCGACACACTCCCGAACTTAGCATACTTCCAGTTCAGCATACATACCTCCAGTTCAGCATACTCTGAACTCGGCACACTTCCAGTTCAGCATACTTTGAACTCGGCACACTTCAAATAGGCATATATACTTCTAGTAGAAAATCAGAGAACTTCTCCTATACAGAGATTATACCCCTCCCCGTTGATATATACTTGATACTACTTGTAACCGATATACTTTGAATTTTGAATATATACAATTCAAGTTTTTCGCGTTTACAATTACTTTGAAATAAAATTACTTTGTAAAATAGTAATATCTCTTTACTGCAAGCAAAGAGGTCATTTTCACCGTATATTATATTGTGCTTAATTTATTGTATTCATAGAAAAGTGTTCTAATTTTACAATTTTTTGTTAATGGCATATTGTTTATTTCGATTATACTTGTATATATTTTTTATTATTTTACTACATTTTTTCTCATTGGATTTTTTTTTATTATTCAAAAAGCGCTGCGGGTCCCCACACCCCGATCCGACAGAATATCACGGTAATGACTTTGGCACAGACAGAGTCAAATGCCGGTGGACACAAAAGATCTGTCCACTTTAAATATAATTCCCACGCTACCACCGTCGAAGTTCGAACCTCAGTAATTAAACCTATGCAGAAAAAAAGGGTGTAGCCTGGTGTAACAAGTAGCAACAAACCGAGAAGTATTGTTCAAAATATGAAGCCCCAAACAATTGGTACTGAAAAAATTAACAATTATTGAATCAACACTAACAAAAGACTAATAGAAAACTCAATCTTAAACCATAAATTCACTCAGAAGTTTCACAAATTCTATTCATAACAAGGCATAAGAGAATAAGAAGACATTGAATATTTGAATGACTGGGCCGAACGACTTGTATGATTGAGTGGATCGCAAGCACTGAAATACTAGGCCGAATTTGGCAGACCTGATATATATGAATAAAGCTTATTGGCCAGGTCAAACCCAAACTGCAACGTATACCATGAATCGGGTCTACTTTGCATTAGAGACCTTAGTTCAAAAATAATCTTAGACACTTATTTGAAATTAAAAAATTGAAAGTGCATGACAAGATAATTACAGACACATAATATTACAACTCTTAATTGCATACACTGGACACATAACATGTTAAACAACATATATTTGTACAAGTTTCTTAATGCAACAGTAGTCTGCAAAAAGTTAAAGAGGAAAAACATCTAACCTCAGCGACATCATTATTTCTAATACAATATAATGGCAATTGGCAGTAACGTATCCTGTGATTCATCATAGGAATTCACCCCATCACTGAAAAAACAATGCACAATGTATGAAACCAGATGAGAATTGAAGATATTTTAAACAGATTTGGCAAATAAAACAAACAATATAATAGAAGAGAAAAGAAACACATACCTAGCTAGCTAGCTAAAATCATGAATCACGTCGTCGACAACAACAGTAAGTGGCGTATGGGCCGCATGAACTCGAAGTAGGCGAGCACGACTTATATTGTACGCCTCCACAGGGTTGTTTGCCTTTTTCCAAAACCACTTTCGCTCCTCCTGAATCTTCATGGCAGAAGCGACAACACAAGGGGGACACTGCTCCACCTTAATTGTCTTTAGCGTGTCAATAGGATCAACTTGAAATGGGATCTCTTCCAAACAATAACAACGTCTTAGGATTAGATGCTTCAGTTTTGGGAAATCGGAACTCCTGACCTCCCATTTGTGGAGATTTGTAGCCTCAATGAACAAGACTTGTAAGTCAGAAAATTGTCCAAATGATCCCCACACTTGGCTAGAGAAGGTGTTTTCTAGTTTGAGCACCTTTAAAGCTCTCAGTACCCATGGAAGCTTCATTATCGGGAGATTAGTCCCGCTCAACCTCAACTTCTTCAGTCGTGTAGAAAACACGGGCCGCTCTAGATGGGTCATACAGTTTGCTGGGACTATAACTGTAAGTGTCTCAAGCTTCGACAAACACCTAATATAATCCAAATTGATTGTGGGATTTCTACAAGATCCAGGGCTGCTACATGGCTCAAAGGCACCTTTATAGAAAACCTTAAGATATTTTAAGTTTGAGAACTTCCTATACACCTCTTCTGTGAAATGAGTTGGACTAACCCATGATAATGTTTGCAATTGCTCTATATTCCTGTTTGGAGGATCCACCTCATAGTAATTTCCAAGTTCGAGATGCCTTAAATGTGGTAACTCCCAAATTCTGAATGACAAATGGCCAGTTCTAAGTAGTTGTGGTTCACCACCAGAAACAATAATTGTCTGCAAATTCTGATTGTTTGACACTACATCGTTTAAACCCTCAAACCACGGTGGGACAGATAGATATCTCAGAAAAACTAAATCTCTTAAATGCAATGGCACTATTTCAAAGATTTGAAGTGCACTCAAATCCACAATTCTTAATAGCTTGAAAGATACCGACTTTACATAATCTCCTTGAAAGAATAAAAGAGAGCGTGGGTTATTTGTAGTAAAGAGCGTGTAATAATCCAACCTATGCTTGTATAAACTTAACCAACGACATGAATTTACAAACATGTCTAATGGCAATCCTAAATCTTTTCGAGTATACACCGCACATAGGAGACCCTCTTTTTTAGTTTCTCTTGTACAGAAGTCCCATAAGGAGCTATGTATCCAGCAAACATTAGTCATCTTATGTTTCCATTTGCTGATTGAGACTAGACCACTGTGAACAAGACCATCTAAATAGCAGTAACCTTCCACTTCTAAATCCTTCACCAATTGCCACCCAAATCCCATACACTCCACCATTTGCCTCACAAATCCCTCAGCAATCCATATACTAATAAGCCTTTTCACATTGATTTTAAAGCCTTTTGGATAGGTTGCAAAATATAAAAAACAAACTTTCAAATGCTGTGGCAATTGATTGTAAGATAGAGTAAGCTTACTTAAGTGCTCGGCATCATTGTATAGAGGTCCCAATGTCTCGACTTCTTTTTCAATCTTCTTCCATTCCTTTAAAATGTACCCGCATTTAGACAAACGCTCTGCAACTGCAACAATTGACCGTGGCAATCCTTCGCACTCCTTCACAACATGTTCAGCGATTTCTACAAATTTTGGTGCTCTAAGCTCTTTGGGAGAGAATTTCTTGCAAAATAGATCCCAACTTCTGTTTGGATCTAATATGCACATTTTATGCACATTACCAAATGTGGCAGCATCGCTACCAACAGTATTGAACTGAGTGGTCAGCAATATACGGATTTTGAGTGAATCATTAGGAAGACATGTTAGGATATCACCCAAAGCTTGGGTGTTTTGTATATTATCCAAAACAAGAAAATACATCTTCTGATGACCACCTCCCATGTGCTTGTGTAATTTCTCTTTTAGTTGAGAAAGAGTGTCTGTGTTTCCCTTGTACTCTTGAGGCACAGTAACCCAAGCTCGAACGTAACCTTCTGCCATATCTGAGCCATAGATTCTTTTAGCCAAAGTAGTCTTGCCAACACCTGGCAATCCTACAATTGAAACTATGTTTTTTGGCTTAAAGGTATGGAATAACATCTTTTCTACCGCATTGAAGGCGTCTTCGTTAAATTGATCCTCAAGATTTGGAGAGCATGGCGAAGATGGTCCACCCAACACAACATTCTCAGGTTTCAACCAATGAATGGATAGATGAGTTTCACTGGCCATGGCCGCATCGGGTTCACTGCTTCTGCTGTTGTTGATAATCTTGGACAGCTCTTCTGCATCTTCTGCAGCTTTTAGCAAGCTTTCATGGAGTTCCCCACGAGCTTTGGCTTGACACTCTCCGTCATGGGCTAGAAGAAAGCTTCTTAGTTGTATCTCAATGTCATCTTCAGCTTTGAGCGCAAAGTCTCTGATTTTGATTTCCAGATGACGACGGACTGGAGCACCACCATTGTTGTATTCCTTCTGCAGAAAGGCTTGCAAAGAAGAAAGCTTCTCAAACAGATAATTCAATGGCTTTTCATCATGGAGAGACACTCTGTGGTTTTGTTTTCGGAACTCAAGGTCAATTGTTGCCATTAGAGAAGCCAATGCAACACAAGCCATCTCTCTTTCTATGTTTTTCTCTCACACTCTCTCTGTCTGATCTGTTTCTGAGTAATTGAGAATGTATATATGTTCAAAGGGCCATTAATATGGAGCTAGCAGGAATCTCATCGTGCATGCACATACTTGAATTTTTACATTTTTAAATACAATCATACAACTCAGGAAAACTGCTAAGCACATGAAAGCCCATACTGAATTAAAAGTCAACTTACTGCCCAAAGAGTTAATACCCAAAATCGTCCTCGACTATAGTGGTTTTTCTCAATTTCGTCCTAAACGACTTTGGTGACCTAATATCGTCCCAGACTTTTGTGTTTCGCTCAATTTAGTCCTAGACTTTTGTGTTTTTGCTCAATTTAGTCCCTCATTTGTTATTCTGTCCATTTGGTGTTAAATAAATAGACAATTCAGTAATTTTAATATTAGCATCTCTTTACTCATAGACATGTGAACTGCGAAATCCCTTTTTTTTTTTTTTTTTACGAATTACTCCCAGAATTACTCCTAAAACTGCGAATATAAAATTTGATTTGCAGGTCCGGGAGTAATTCTGGGTGTAATTCGTACAAGAAAGAGGAATTTTGCACTTCACAAGTTGAAAGTAAAGAGATATCAATATTGACATTACTGAATTGTCCCTTAATTTAACACCAATTTGACGGAATAACAAATGGAGGACTAAATTGAGCGAAACACAAAAGTCTGGGACGATATTAGGTCACCAAAGTCGTTTAGGACGAAATTGAGAAAAACTTCTATAGTCGAGGACAATTTTGGGTATTAACTCCTGCCCAAATTATTGAGTGAACAGAATCAGGAATGATATCTTTTTGAATTAAAAGTCAACTTAAATAACTAATTAAAAGTCAAATTAAGTAAAAATAATAAATTTGTATAAAATAATCTCACAACCAGCCATATTAAAAATCAGAAAACAAAATCAAGAATTATTAGAATAATATTCAAATTAAGCACCAACATCCACAGGAATGCAGGAGCGATCAGTGAAAAAACCTTATAGCAAGGCCTCTCTTTGAGGCAATAACTCAAACACTTGGTGTGAGATCCAAATGGCAAAACAGACTGCTAACTTTTCAGCGTTACATATAATCGTTATCATCATACTACACTCAACTTTTAAAGACTTCTTTTTAATTTTAATCAATTTTCAGTATGGACTTGGAGATTTACCTCTTCGGCGTCTGCAAAAGGATGAAGAATTGGAGCTCGGCACCCCAACTAGAAAATAAAAATGGAAGATTTTGAATGTAAAAGAAGGCAAAATCAGGTGCGGGGATAGCTCAGTTGGGAGAGCGTCAGACTGAAGATCTGAAGGCCGCGTGTTCGATCCACGCTCACCGCATACATCCTTCTGAGTTGACGAACGTTTAGAAAATAATGAATAAAATGCTTAATGCTTTAATTAATTAATTGTACAAATAATATATTTGTTTAACAAATAGGGAATTAGTCTTTTCAATTATATTTTGATTAAATATACAAATAATTCAATTAATCAATATAAACATATAAAATATGCTTCAGGTGTCATGTTTTTAAAAATATTTATTATAAATTTATTTTGTTAGCAATCAAAAAGATGTTTAGAGCTTTCAAAAAAAAAAAAAAAAAAAAAAAAAGATGTTTAACCAACTACCTTATGTAGTGTGATGACACATCTATTATCATTCTAAATGGATGATTACAGGATTGAATCTTGGTGGTGGGCCAAAGAATATTTCTCACGTCATAGTAATATATAACAAGGTTAGTAGAACCTATAAAACTTGGTGTATAATACGGAATTAGATTATAAAATATTATAATAATTTCAACTCTTAAGTTTTTATGTTTTTTTTTTTTTTTTTTAAATTGTGATGAGAAAAACCTCAACCATTAATTAGTTGAGGAGATACACAAATTAACCACACTCTTATGTAATAGCTCGCAAATTATATAGGAGAGGTAAATTTCACTAGAAATTATTGATATACACTAACAACCAACAACAATTTCATTTTAATTTGTATCAAATTGAGTATTGACCTAAATTATAAAATTATTTATGTTTTTCTAAAATGGTCTCACTCTTGATCATGCACATGCATCCTGCATTATATTAATCCATCAATTGACGTTGTCCAATATAAACGGTGGAGCATGTGGTTTAATTTAATGCAAGGTGAAAAATCTTATCATGGCTTGACATGCCATAAATCCTTTAGGAATAGAAACATAGGTGAAATTAAGAAAAAGAAGGGTGCCTTTGAAAATTAATCATTATACTATGGATCAAGATCGATCTTGTAAGATAGACTATTGATATTACCTTAATTTTATGCTCAACAAGCCCAAATTCAAGGCATGGGGATTGGGGATGCATGATATAAGTGCCAAATTAAAGATGCTTCTTTATGGGGTCTTTTGGAGACATTCTATGCCTTATTTGTGTCCTTTTGACCTATTATGTGGTTATAATTGCTTGATTTGCATAGAGTTAAAAGATAAGGACGGATTATCAAAAGAAAAAAAAAAAAAAAAAAAAAAAAAGATAGACTAATTGTGGGTGCATTTGTACATTTTAGGGGGGAACTTTATTAAAGACATTTTGGTCATTCCGGAGCTAAGATGGGAGAAGAGTTCGAGACACCATTCAATACGAGCTTTAGTACGTACATACCTAGGCCGTACAGAAATATACAGAAAGTTTTACATTTGGAAGTACACTCGTACTTGCCACATATGCATACATCCAAAAAGATATATGAGTAATCGGCTTGGTTGGCATGAATGGTCGTGCATTCTTGTCCCTTAAGAGAGGTTGGGAGTTTGAATCCTTCCTCGTATGGAAAAATCAATATGGCCAACACATGATTTATGATTTTATAATCAACGTATGAATGTGAGTACACATGTATTGTTGTGCTCCGGGAGACTTGTGTATAAATAGTTGTGTTGAACGAGGATTTTTGCCATTTTACAGATAAATTGTTCATTTCTTGTTGAGCTCTAGTAGTTTACATGATTTTACAATCAATGCCGCCAAATCACGTAAATGACAAAGAAATCAAATAAGTACATATTGTTCACTTCTTGTTGAAGTCTAGTTTACTTGATTTTACAATCAATATCTCCAAATCACCTAAATGACACAAAGAAATCGAATAAGTACATGTTGAAAAATTCTGTGAGAGAGATATTTTTTTGGTCCAAATTAAACCATACATATCTATCATTTTGCCATGTGTTCATTCTTGCCTAATTCTAAGAGCATCCTTATCAGTGGGGATATTAGAGGGGAGAATGTAAGAGTTATTAGGAAAGAGAATGTGGGAGGGGAGAAAAAAAAAATCAAAACTGACTTTTTAAAATGAAAAAAATAATTAAAAAAAAAAGTATGTCAGGCGCGCCTGACGCGCAGCCGGGCGCGTGCGAGTGTGGACTTGCTGTGCGCCAAACGCACACATCAAGTAGTATTTTTTTTTTCTTGGTTTTCTCATTCTCCCCACCCCTTACAGATGAATTCTTTTTAAATTATTCCCTCCCAACATTAGCTTTGCTCCTTGTTGGGAAGAATGCATTCTGAAAAAGCTCCAAAAAAGACACTATAGTGGAGATGTAAGGCCACTAATCTCATACATATGTTAATTATGTCTGATGTGCATTGAGGAGATGTGAAACAGTGCAAACGTGGGTAATCTTGTGGTTGTAATAGTATGCAGTGTTACTATATAAAGGCTATCTACTTTGTTAACAAACACACTCAATGATCATCTTCATATCCTCCTTTCTTTAATCCCTCTGTGTCATCGTCTAAACAAAGTCAGGTTCACCTGCGTTATAGTTGGTGTGAACTAAGCGTAGTTAGTCTGTGTAGCCTGTCGAAAGCGTGCCAAGGTTCTGACTGCACTGTTACCGGGCAAATAACGCTTTTAAGGCAGTGTTATTATAACATGGTACAAACTTCCTTTCAGTCATACACCCGTTGTGTCCGTGTCTCTTAAAAGGTTTCAAGCCCGCGCATTGACGTTGCGAATATTTTCCAACAGTACATACTTCAAATTAATTAGCACAAAACCATATGAATTTGATGTACATAAAAAAAAGTAAGAATTGAAAATCACCATATATACTCAAAATAATTTCCAAAGTTATAGACATAAATCCACCCAAAATTATGGCATTACTCATAAAATAAAACTTCTTTCAACAATTTGCAACAAGAGGAAAAGCAAACAAAACCACATGCAGCAATCCTCTGATCCACTCAACTTCATCTCGTTTTTCTAAGGGCAATTGATGACTTACTGTGGGCCCATCATCATAAATATTCCATCATTGAGAAACCAACCAAAATACTGTAAAATAGAGAACATATATATGCATGAAAGCAGGTAAGAAAAAAGCTAGAAATTTTAAACAGAAAGTAAGAAATAGATCAGAAGAGAAAAATAATTAAACACCATGATATGATATACCTAAAATGGATCTATAACTGTAAGCGTCTCCAGCTTTGATAAATACTCAATATAATCTAAATTGATGATGATGGGATTTTTGCAAGATCCAGGGGTGCTAGTAGGCTCAAACACATCTTTATAAAAAACTTTCAGATATTTTAGGTTTGGAAAATTGTAATACACCTCTTTTTTGAAATGAGTTGGACTCACCCAAGATAGTGATTGCAACTTCTCTTTAACCATGTTCGGAGGATCTGTCAAATAAGAATTCCCAAGTTCAAGATGCGTCAAATGTGGCAACTCTCAAATTCTAGATGCCAAATGGCCATTAGGTGTTCTAAGTTTAATAGTCATCTCATGTTCCCATTTGCTGATTGAGAGAAGACTCTTATTACTAGCAAGCTCATCTAAATAACTATACCTTTCAAAAAAAAAAAAAAAAAAAAAAAAACTGTAAGCTTTACTTTCAAATTCCTTATGCCCCAATGGCCTCACATATCATTCAGCAATCTATATCCTAATAAGATGTTTAACATTGATTTTAAAGCGTTTTGGATAAATTGCAAAATGTAGAAAGCAAACTTTCAAATGTTGTGGCAATTGATTGTAGTATAGAGTAAGCTTACTAAAGTGCTCAGTATCAGTGTATAGAGCTTCTTCCATTTCTTCAAAGTATAGTTGCATTCAGGGGCGGAGCCACTATGGGTGCAGCTACCCCCTCACTGGCTCCCTCCCCCACCCCATCCCTTTATATATATATATATATATATATATATATATATATATATATATATATATATATAGTCACACTCAAGTGTAGCGACCCTTTCCCGTGTGGTCATGTGGCGATTTTCAGAATACACCAATAGTTAAGTAAGATATACACCATCAACATCAGGAAATGCACCACAAAAAATGCACACAAATTAGGTACGCATCACCAACAACACACCATGGGTGTGAGTAAAAACACCATACAGTGTTCGAAAATACACCATTGGGGTTGGTGAGTTATATGGTGTATTTTTTGGGTCTGTTGTGTATTTTTTTTTGGTGTTTTTTTGCATTTCATTGTTGTGTGTTTCCCTTACACTGTTAGTGCATGTTGTTAACACTGTTGGTGTATTCTGAAATTCCGCCACACGACCACACCTAACAACATGACCACATATGAGCATTATTATTATTATTATTATTATTATTATTATTATTATTATTATATACACACACACACACACACACACACACACACACACATATATATATATATATATATATATATATATATATATATATATATATATATATATGTATGTATGTATGTATGTATGTATGTATGTATATACATATATAGCTATTATGAATAAATTGTAATAGATTTTGATGTGTCAAATTGTAATTTGTAGAACCCCCAATTTTATCTGATTTAAGTCATAGTTGAGTGTTAAACCATGAAGGGGAAATTAATAATTAAGAAGTAAAAGAGAAAAACAGAGGAGGAAGATGTATGAAAAATGGAAGAAGAAGATATCAAGCCTAAAATTTAGAATTTGTCTAGTGAAAATGGCAAACAGAAGAAGATGTATGCATATGATATGTATAGCATGAACTTTACCCGAATACCATACTCAAGAAGACTTCCAAGAAGAATTTTCGATGAAGAAAATCAAGATTTGAAGTCTGCATGAATTTGACTTGGAGATCAAGCATCTATGGAAAGAAAGAAGTACATTAAAGAAGATTGGAGATTTCACCAAATAATTGTTTAGATGAATTGGAAAATGTTTAAAATATTATGTTTAAAGTCTCATGTTGGAATCCCATTAATAACAATTTTACAAGGTAAATTTTAAGGAGCCAAATTGATTACTTCAAATGAAGTAAGGGCGCCAATTTGGTAATCACATGTG